GTCATATTTGGCGTTCCGTCTTGGTTTCTTTCGCTGACCTGGTAGCTCGTCCAGCCACTCGGATTGGAGGTCAGAAATTTTGGAAGGGGGACGAACGAAGAAGAATTTGTTTTGCCAGTTATGAATTTTTGATTTTGGGTTTTTAAGGAATTTAGCACTGTTGCGCGGCATGAGGTAGGGTGAAGTATTGTTCGAGGATTGGAGATTGAGACAATAGAAGCATAGTTCTGGGTCAAACTCGCCGAGGTGAGCCCGACAAGTCATGATAAAACCAACGAGATAGCGCATCGCGTTAGGAGGAAATTGGTTCAGGGGAAAGCGATATAACTTGCTCAATTCGAGTAGGTCGGGGTGCAGGGGGAATCTTAGTCCGGCGTTGGCTTGATCAATGAAGAAGCTATAGAAGTCGGGTGGGGGATTCTTGTATGAGTCTCCGGGTAGTGGAAGTCTCAGTTCCCATCCTTGGGGTAACTCAATTTTTCTAACAAGGGCGGCTATTTGGTCGTCCGAGTAGGAGATGGGGTTAGAAGGTGTCGCTTGGGAGTGGGTGGCACACTTTTTTGTTTTGTTGGGGGTTGTGGTCGACGAGGCTTGGAGGGCCAAAGTAACGAAAGGGTTCTCTATAGGCCTGGAGTGCAAAGTAGGCGATGATGTACTAGTACTGGTGGGCGATGAGGTGCTAGTGTTAGTGGTCGAAGTTGAGGATTCTAAGGGGTATGATAGTGGGACGGCAATTGACGAGCATATGCAAAAATGAAATATACATAATGAATGAACAAGAATTATGCATAACAATAACAAGGGCAAAAGTAGGGGGATGAGATCGGCGTACCCATGAAATTGTCTGACATGATGAAAGGATGGATGAGGTCGGCGTGCGTGTGACTTCCGATTGAAGAGGAAAGCGGGCTCGGCGGGTGTAGGCTCGTCGGTGAAGGCTCGCCGGGAGATGAGGACTTGTCGGCGGGGACGCGCGGTTAATGGTGCTCGTCGAAGGACAAATTACCGGATGTCAAAGGGATTGAAGGCTTCTCTTTTAGAGAGAGAAATTATATGAGTTAAGTGAGAGAAGAGGGGAGAATAAGAATGGGTGGATGATGAATGAAGAAAGGTGGATATTTATAGTGGAAGGTAGATGAAAATGTGATCTAAGGTGGGAAAAGAAGCTTGTAAGAGAAGCTTAATGGTTTTCCCAAGGGAGGTGGTAGGTGAAGGAAAAAGGGATGGAGCATGTGCCATGAGTAGGTGGGAGTGCATAGGCTTTGCTTTTTGGCCTAGCATCTCGGCATCCGCAGCTCGGCTTCGGCTCCTCGGCTCGGCGTCGTAGGTCGCGGCTCGGCAGGTTGGCCTCGGCGGTTCGTCTCGCTG